TGCAAGCGTCGTCAAACAATAGCGTTTGACAAGCTCCTCCATACGCACATCAGCGATGTATCATCGGCACCTATCCAGTTTCTGCTGGTAAGAGCGTAGCTTGACCACTAAAAATATTGATTAGCTTTATACACACACCGATAGATACATATGTGTGTGACCATTAGCATAAGGTGTGAATAGGCCCGTATATATATATATATATATATATATGTATGTATATATATATATATGTATGTATATATATATACACGTACACGTTAATTTTCCTTCACACACTTAACACATAGACACAGTACACTCCACTCGTACACGTTGACTATACATCACACCTCTGTTAGCAATGTTGTCGTACGCCATCTCCTCTCTCTCCTCCGGTGACAGTCCACTCTGAAATGCATACCAATTACTCAGCAACCCCACACACGACAGAAAGTCATTGGTAGGTGAATAGGAGTCGTTCTCTGTGCGCTCGATAATGGATCTCTCCACCTCGATTTTCTGGTCCACGGACAGGACATTCCAGATGTGCCTGAAATCGGGACAAGATGGTACACATATTCTGTGTGAATAGACTTGATTGTGCCAATTTACATCCGCGGGCTACATACTTGCGTGTATTAGCGAATCCTTTGCTTGTGGTTATTCAGTATATATCTATATATACAAAAAATTGTAAAAACATGAATATACACGTATTCGTTACCTAATGTGCATCAGCAGGCGCCAGTTCCAGTCGTGCAGAGAGAAGTAGGCTGTGACACGCCAACTGTCCTGAAAGCGGTCACTCACATGGTGCACGTCCTGCACTTGCGAAGAGATCGCAGCTGATACAACAGCGTTGTACGAGATATAAATTAATCTAAAGTGTTAATACTTATCAATAGTTATACATAGTTTAGAGAGTTAATGTTACCAGAAATAATTTGAAGTAGTGTGCTCATTGCTTGCCACATACTCTATCACTCACGCTGTTTACCCAGAGCAAAATTTTAACCCAACGGCTAATCGGTACTAATTCACTTCTTACCATAGATGATATCCCACACATACCGAATGCCCGCACCAGTACCTGGGTCTGGGCTCGGTTGACTTTGCTGCACATGTGGTGTAACCCACTTCCTACCCTACACTCTATATCTTAAATCATTCACCCATACTTCGAATAACAACTTGTAGTATCCAGCTCCTAATCAAATCACCCACTATGTCTAATCAATACTACCCACATACCCAACGCGTGCACCAATGCCTGGTTCTGGGCTCGGTTGACTTTGCTGTACACACGGTGTGCTTCGCTTGCACGCAGGTAGTAGGGCTCCCACGCCATACCACAGCCAGCCAACGCATCAATCGACAACTCTGCGCCACTCAGCTGGAACTGTGGTGTGCAATGGGTGACAGTGGCCATGAAAGGGTACCACGCGTTGGGTAGAATGTACTTGTTTGGGTATTCCTATTGGAGATGGCTCTGTGCAAGCACCGGATAGCCGGTAGTCATACTGGGATGATCCGGTACATAGACATGTGGTAATAGATAAATAGCACTGGCACTTGAAGTATATATGGCTCTGACACTTACACTAATATAAATAGCACTAAAACTTACACTAGATAAATTGCACTGACAGACATCTCTAAAATTAGCACTGACACACATCTCAATAAATAGCACCGACACTTACACTTCTACAAATATCACTGACACTTACACTTCTATAAATGGCACGGCTACCTCTAACATAAATTGCACTGACACCTACACTTCTATAAATAGCACTGATACCTACCGAGGGAAATCGAACCATGGCCGCACTGGGCTTGCCGAGTTCGAAGTCGACTTCCATGGAGGTGTTGGGCACTAACAACTCCATCAGCACATCCGTAAACGGGTGGAAGTGCGTCTCGTGGGGATTCCACATCTTCACACTCTCCTGCGGCAGCCCATGAACTGCCGGGTCACGGCCTGAGGGGAGGGGGGAGGACGGTGTAATTCAATAGATATGGGCAGAGATAGATAATGGAGTATGGATGTAGTAGGTATGGTTGTATGATGAATTGTTTGGGTAGGTAGAGATAGATAGTCAATCGAGTATACATGCGTATGAGGCAAAATATGTATGTACGATCTACTACATGATGTCATGGGCACGGTAACCATCAATAATCTCATTACAACACACTTACATTTAACACACTACAAGTGGTACATACTATGCGATCAATCCCATATCGAGTCGCGAATAAGTGCGTCAAAACACCCAACAAGTAGTGTGTGGTGTGTAAAAAACCCCGCACCAAGTCACAAAGCTATATCAAACGCACCCCTATGTTTTCGGTGCGTGCTAAGTCCCGAATTTTGCACCAGGGCTCACCTGCACCAAGTATACAATGCATGGGATCACCAACGTACACACCAAACAACACCACCAGTAGTACGTGCGGCGCACTAGGCTTTGCATTGAGCGATACGTAACACATACAGTACATATGTATACCACTAAGACTAATACATACATAGCACACGCACCTGCATGAGGATGCATATGAAGCTACCTACACATGCTGTCATATGAAGCTACCTACACATACTGTCATATGAAGCTACCTACACATACTGTCATATAAAGCTACCTACACATGCTGTCATATGAAGCTACCTACACATGCTGTCATATGAAGATACCTACACATGCTGTCACATGAAGATACCTACACATGCTGTCATACGAAGCTACCTACACATGCTGTCATATGAAGCTACCTGCACATGCTGTCATACGAAGATACCTACACATGCTGTCATACAAAGCTACCTACACATGCTGTCATATGAAGCTACCTACACATGCTGTCATACGAAGCTACCTACACATGCTGTCATATGAAGCTACCTGCACATGCTGTCATACGAAGATACCTTACATACTATCATACAAAGCTACTTACACATCCTGTCACCAAGACAAGCCGTGCATGTGACAAGCGAACAAACTCACCGAAACGCTCCACACGCAAATGCATGCCCGCTTCCTCGCAGGAAATGCGCCCTATGAGCATCTGCAGGTTCTTCTTAAAGAACGAGGCCTGTTGGTCGCAGTGCGTGTAGGCAAGGGGTTAAGCTTAGTACCACGTTGGGATGATATGACTCTGTTGGGCTATTATAAGTCTGTTGGGTTATTAATAACTCTTCTGGGTTATTTACATCTCTGTTGGGTTATTTGTAACTCTGTTAAGCTATTTATTGGGTATCAGAGTACTAGTATGATGCATCCCGTGCGCAGTGGATCTCACAGAATAGGCGTTCGCGAATATATTATTCCTCTGAGACGTGTTTTTGTGCGTACCGTTACAGGACTCTGTGCATATCAGCCGCACGTACCGAACTGGGGTTGCCATAGCAACCCCACCGCATACAGCCAAATCATGCGCACATGTACACCTGCACACAGGGCACCCCAACCTTTAAACCGATACAAATAATATGACAATACCATACGCACTGGAATAGCAGCATTTTTATACCACATACCGGTTTCCAATAGTACGTACGGCTTTCTGGTTGTCGCCGTGCCTGTCCACCAGATAATAGGACAACCACACACGCACTACCATAGCAGTGTTTTTATACCACATACCGGTTTCCAATAGTACGTACCGCTTTCTGGTTGTCGCCGTGCCTGTCCACCAGCCCATTGCTGCGTCTGTGAGGTTCGTTGCAGTTGACCTGTGACAGTGTCAGGTCGAGTGCTTTGACGCAGATCAGTGCCAGAGCCACTCGCTTGTTGGTGGTGGCTTCGTTCTGTGACTCCAAAAGGCTGTGTGTACGAAGTCGTGTGAATGAAGTAAATATACGCGCACACAGCGAGAGAGTGTAGGAGAGAGATACATATATATTACGTATTCGGAGCACTATATATATCGACTACATACACTTATGACACACACACAGAGAAAGAGGAAGATATATACATCTACGTATCCTGAACACCATATACATCCACTACCTGAACTTACAACACACACATAAAGAGAAAGATATACCCATTTACGCATTCTGGACAAAATACATATCCACCACCTACACTTGACACACGCACATAGAGAAAGTGAGAGAGATATATACATCCACTTGTTCTGTGCACCATATACATCGACTATATACACTCATCGAAAACGAACCTGCGCGTGCACACACAGACACACCGAGACATGTTTGCATCAACATGTTCTAATGTCAATTACCGAGCACATCCCACTCATACAAAGTACCTTGCACGACTTGAGTAAGATTGGCGTTTGTTCAACCGTCGCGATTCTCGGCCGAGCGAGCTAGCTGAGTTCCTCCTCCGATCGAGAGGCGGAGATGACTCATCCAGCACGTCAGTTGATACTGATTTGGGTGCGCTTAGGGGGACGGCTAACAGCTCCTCTGATTATGTTATAAATGAATATATATATATATAATATTAATTATAATTATAATTATAGATATAATTATAACTATATATAAATATATATATATATATATATATATATATTATATATATAGTGTGTGTGTGTGTAGTGTGTGTGTGTGTGT